CAGGATGCAGGAGTTGCCCTAAATCCGAAGAGTTGTTGGTTTAAGCTCCGGCTTTCAATGTTGCTGTGTCCTTTGGCAAGACACTTCACCTGCATTGCTTACTGGCAATGGCTCTATCAGACGCTATAGCCTCTTCCCCACTGAAAATGCCAGGTTAAAGCGGGTTTTCAAACATTGGTCGACCCACTAACAATCGGCATTTGGCTCCCTTCCCATTGGCAATATAAGCTGTCTCTAAAGGGCTGGTTATCCTCCCGCAGCAGTGTGTCGCAGTGAGCTTGACACAGATTTTTTTATATTTGTGCCCAATATTGAAACATGGTCTGCGCTGGTATTCCACGCCACAACGCAAGCAGGACAATCAGGAACTAGCTGTGGGGCTAGAGACGGTGGAGGTGGGGAGGAAGAGAGGGCACGTTTGTGTGACAACAGAGGGACATGAGGGCGAAAAAGAGCAGGGATCCAGGTGGAAAAAGGGTCCCAGCGTTCTCATGCACCTCACTCTTCTAAATAAAAGTAATTAATGATTACCGTAATTTTCGGACTATAAGCCACGACTTTTTCCCCATTTTTCGACCTTGCGGCTTATATAACAATGCGGACATTTACAGCAAACGACCACTTGGGTAATACAGTACCCAAAGCTATGGATTTTACCATCCACCATGTTGACGTCACATTTGCTTCAACACAGAAGTAGCCGTGCGCACAGTAATGCGGACCTCCTCTGGAAGCAGACTCCGAGAAAGACGGACAATGCGAGCGCAAGATAGTTTGTGTGACACCCAAACAAACGTTGTAAACAAACGTTGAAATGCATATGATGCAGCTTTTAAGGTAAAGGCAGTCAATTTGGCAGTAAACGAAGAAAATAGAACCGCTGTACATAACCTTGGAATGAACGGGTCAATGGTGAGACGTTGGAGACACCAGCAGGAAGAATTGTCCCAACTCAACTGTGTTGAAATTTTTATAAATAGGAGCTTCCCCAAACAGTTGCCCCTTTCCCGACAATCCTCTCTGTGCACGAACCATATGGTAATTAAACATAAAAAAAAAACTGTGGCTAATAGTCCAGTGTGGCTTGTATATGTACAAATCATGCAATGTAGTTTCTGCGGCTTATATTCAGGTGCGGATTATAGTCCAAAAATTACGGTAATTCATTAGAGTGCAGTGATGTTTTTTTTTTTAGCAGTAAAATGTATTATTTATGGTGTCANACGACACCGGGACTGGCAGCCTCTCACACAACACGATCGTGTCATTTCTGGTAAATAATTGTGCCGAAAGAACAGCCGCGTGTGGCTTATCTCGACTTTACACCTAATATGGTGGTTTTCCCACGATGCACCGCGCCCGAGGTAAACAATTGACGTCACCTGGCGGAGACCGATAGTCTTTGTACTGAATTGTGCTATACAAATACATTTGCCTTGCCTATTAAGTTTTGACATTGGAACCAAAATTATGAAAAAAAAAGAAGTTGATTTCTAGGATAGCAAACACCCCCCGAAAGACCCACATGATTCACGGAGGTGATCGATTTGGGATCAAAAATGGCGAATTTCACTGGAAAGGGAGAGACTTTCTCGTTTGAATAAATCTGCTATAACAAAATTTAAGGCTACATAACAGTTTAGCAGAATTTTACTAGCAGATTCAATTAGGATGGTTCTACACTAGATAAATATAATTTAAAATCATTGTTGGGAATGATTCAGATTTTCTAAATACTGTCAGCTAGTGTTGGAGTGGGTTTAAGTCGACCAGTCAGGTCACAGAATAAGAAGGCAAAAGAGACGTTTGATACTTACTGCCTGACATGAGATAGAGTCCGTTTGGATCCACAGCTAAGCTGGTGACGGCATCCAGGTGGGCCACCATGGAGTGGATCAGCTTCCCGCTGTTATTGTCAAAGAACTTGATGTGTCTGTCCTCCTGCGCCGTGATGGTGATCGGAAGAGTCGGGTGACTGAGGACCTTGTTAATGTGACAGGGAGTGCCTGGATTTCAAAAAGCAAAACATTAAACATGTAGATCCTTTGATAACAGACAACAAAGACGTTACAAACAGACAATGGAAAGTTTAATACAAGCTACAATACTGCAGTGTTTTAAGATGTTGTTCACAAAGCTGTAAATTAGGTTATTCTGTCTTGGACCACAACGTATTTCATTAGTATTCGGGAGGAAAAGAACACTTAAAACTTGTGGGCTGACAAAAATTTTTTTTTTTTTTTATGCGGTTTGTGAGGCGAAACCCAGAGATGGAAAGGAATGGTGGATCGTAGCAGGATTTTCCTGGGCTGCCAGAAGCTGGTCGCCTCCCTGTACCACAGATATGAAGCCATGATTAAGCAAATATGGTGTTAGATCATGAATCTCAGGAAAGTCGAAAGTTTGAGTTTGTAAAGATGTCAACGTTGCCATTTTGTTGAACATTATATTAATTGAGGGTTTTTATTATTATTAAATTAATGCATATGTGCTAAAGGGCACAGGATGCAGGAGTTGCCCTAAATCCGAAGAGTTGTTGGTTTAAGCTCCGGCTTTCAATGTTGCTGTGTCCTTTGGCAAGACACTTCACCTGCAT